AACCCCACCCAGCCAATAGGAGCTGAGAGATTGGCCTGGGTGATGGGGGCAACACAAGCCTCTTTCCCCCTCCTGAAGCTGAGAGCCACATGGAGGAAGCGGCCTGCAGTTTCAAGCTGTCTGGGGCTGCAGCAGGCAGGGAGTCCAGCCTGCCTTGGGGATGCTGCAGGGCTGCTGTCCAGGAGATGCTTAGGTAAGTACCTCATAGCCAGAGCCTGCTTCTGGCATCCCAGCCCTTCCCTCACCCCAACTCCCTTCCCCAGACCACCATCCAAACCCTGTGCACCCCAACTCCTTCCTCTAGGTCACTATCCAAACCCTCTGCACCCCCTTGTCCCAGGTCACAATTCCCTCCCAGACTTTGCACCCCCTCGTAGAACCCCTCCCCCAGGCAAGAATCCTCTCTTGCACCCATCCTCCCTCCATGATGCTATACCCCAATCCCCTGACCTAGGTCACAACCCCCTCCTTCACCTAAACTCCCTCTCAGACCTCACACTGTCTCCTGCACCCCAGCCTGTTACCTGGTGCATCCTTCTGCACCCAGCATCTCCTTAACAGAAAAATGCAATCCTTGACTACTTTCCAAAATCTTGGAGTGCCCCCCCCCCAACCAAAAATTATTGCCCACCTATGGGTTCATCGACTACATCCCTAGTTTCCACTTTTTTCTGGGCATATTTTAGCTGAGCACAAATGTTCTTTGAAACATGTAGTCTTCCAGTTAAATTTCTCATGAGGCTTAAGAGTTTAGTCTGTATGATATAAACTGTCTTTGTGCATAGGCAAGAAAACATCTTAGGCTGCCATGATATTGGTGTTGAGCATGTGGGAGTTGCTGTTGTGTTCTAGCTTGATTTGTCACCTTATCTAAATTGGGTCTTTTTCCTCCTCCTTCACTCTATCCCAAAATTCTTTCCACAGTTCGCATGGGGCTACTGCTTTTCATTGACTCTGAAACAAATTGAGACCTTGCTGCCCAGTCATCTGGACAGTGGATATGGAGTCTCCACTTCCTGTCCACTCATGTCATCCTACAAATTCATGTTGCAGGAAGTATTGAGTATGTGTGGAAAACACATACTTTCTGAAGGTTGTGTGCTGTAAGCCCTGGAAATTGTGCCTGCTCTTAAATAGTTTTATGAAAAGCTAGCACAATGTGTTGCCATAGTATCTGTGGTCTGCCTGATCTGTTTTCTAGCATAGTTATCTTTTACTTTTGTTGCCTTCTCATGATTTGCACTGGAGTCCCTTTTTCAGGTTTGAAGAACCTAGTTGAAACTAGGGATGTAAAGGTTTAACATGTTAACTGGTGGGTGCTAGAGCAGCTCCTCAGCTGTCATAGGTAGGGGACTGCTTTAGTTCCACAGGGGACCAATGCGGACAGAGGCTGCTCCAGTCTGGTCTGTGGGGGGGGGGGGAGCACAGGCAAGGATTGCTCTAGCCAGATTGGACTCCCCACCTCACCCCCTTAATCAGCTAAAAATGTTTAATTGATTAGCCAATTAACTGGGCTTTTACATTCCTAGTTGAAACAAGTCTTACATGCTGATATCTTTTGTGTTTTTATAGCAGTTTTGGGTAATGATGAAAGTGTATATGGCACAAATACAATTCTGTTTATGCATATTCAAACAATGTTATACATGCTTGCTGATCTAGTCTTTTACAGCTCTTGAATCTACTTTTTTTTAATTTTCCTTTTGAAAGGCACTTCCTTCTTCAATGGTGATAGTAGCAGTCTACTGTCCAGTGATAGCAGCTCTCTTCATTGTTCTGAAAATGGTGAACTACCGTTTGCACAGGGCATTGGATGAGGGAGAAATTGTGGAGAGGAATGCCAATGAACATATGGACAGGGGTGCTAAAATTCAACAAGGCAAAACTTTAACCAGGAGAACAGATAGCAATGGGCCCAGGTAAGAGTGCTTCATCTGTTTGTCATCAAAGTTGTTTCTACATGTACTACTTACCTGTAATGCTAGTCCTCATCAAGTTGATAACTGGTAACTCCAGGTAATGTGAAAAAAACTGTGTGGATATTAGTTACATCTTTAACTTTGTATGTTTCAGATAGTCAATGGCTTTTTAAAGTCAACCAGGAACATCTGTTGTGTGAAATGTAGCTTGTTTCATGGCATTTTATAAGTTTGAGGGTAGAAGTAAATATATAACACTGCATTCTGCACTTGCCCTTATAGAAGATACACAAGATCTGTTCCCTGTTTTCTACTCCATGCAAGGAAACCTATTTTTTGTGAGGAGTGTTTGTAAGTTAGCTCTTAACTGAAGTTCAAACTTGTAGTGGTGATATATCTCTTTAGAGGTATAGCTCTGAAAAACACTTTCTCTCAAATTTAGGTAGTTAAACACTCAACTCTACTATGGGATTCTAGATCCTATAAGTATAACTAAATCAAATGGGAATTTTGGTGAAGGTTCTGATTTTGCAAATCCCTAATGATTATATTGATGATGATGTAATGGTCAGGTCATGACTGACAGTATTTGGTGTACATATCTGTTACAACTTACAAATATTGGCTAGCTAACCTTCACAACTTCTTTACATTTGGTAGGCATTATATCCCTTCTACAGATATTTGTGATGGGTGTACGGAGAGGGGAACTACTTGGTCAAGTAATAAGTGACTTGGCCTAGGCTAAAAATTGAGGCTGTATGAAAACTGGAATTAAATATCTAGTATTCTTTGGTTTAGTGTCCAAACCAAGCTCCTATGCCTATACAACCTCTGAAAAATTGTATGTTTGTTCACATGGACAAAATACAACCTAAACACACTCTTAATACTTCTGGGAAAAAAATAACATTCTCTGACCTTCCTTCTGAAGTTTATAGCTGGCTTCTTCAGACTGGCACTTACAGGTGCTCGTTGAATGCTGTTGCAGAAAGTGATCGTGTAGAACGTAGCCTGTCCATCTGGACAAAATTTGCTCCCACAGCACTTTACATCCTGTTTCCAGTCCAAAACTGGAAATATGAGCAAAAAAGGTTTTAAAAATCTGTGTGTTTGTATCTGAAGCTAATTAATGGCAGGGTCTGTCTTTTATGGGGTGCAGATGGATTGTCAAATGCTTTTCTTGAACACCCTTTGTAAAACAAACTTAATTTCTGCCATCACACTCTTCAGTGCAAATCCATATGAAAAGCTTTTTGAAAAAGGTTGTATTCCTTGGAGATAATTGTAACTGTATGCACAAAGAGACAGTAGCAGATGGATGCTAACATCCTTTGTACCTGCTGTGTTCAGTTTCCCACTCAGGGCAGTCTTTTAAAATAACAGATTACCAATTTACTTCTATAGACCTAAACTGGTAATTCTTTTTGAAAAGCTTTTTCACTAAGATGGTGGTAAAGCACTAGAATGGATTATCTAGGGAGGTGGTGGAATTTCCATCTTTAGAGACTTTAGGGCTTGGCTTGACAAAGCCTTGGCTGAGATAATTTTGTTGGGGTTGGTCCTGCTTCAAGCAGGGAGTTGGACTAGATAATCTCCTGACTAGATGACCTTCCAACCCTAATTGTCTATGATTCTATGAACTTTGATATCAGAAAATTGCTGACTTCTTAAATAAAATTGCTTTGTGGGTTTTTCCTTGGAAGTGGCATTACTGTAATGTTCAGTCTGCCTACTAAGCTTTCCAAGATCCTTTTTGCACTGCATTTATGTTCTAATTCTTTGTTAGTCACTAGCTGATCTCAGTGTATCTAGTAAATTTAAAGATGGTGGTAATTGGCATTGCAATAATTTTTCCTACTATTCCCACATTACTAACTCATATCTCATGACTGTCTTGCTTCATAATCTTGAACTTCTAGCTTCATAGTTGCTACTTGTTCTGAGCATAGCTTTTTGCATTGTATTGTCGTAGTCTGTATATGATAACTTCATGTCTGCTCCAGTGACTTTCTGAAACTGGCAACTTTTCTCACTCAGAATTCACTTGCAGAAGTAAACAGCTAAATCAGGAATGGACAAATTCATGTATTTGATAGGGAAAACAAATGTGTGTGTAAGTCTCCATGATTAGTTGTAATTGAAGGTCTGAGTTGAGGAGTTGTAAAATCCTTTAATAGATGCAATGATTTGAGTTTTGAAATCATACTACTTCGTGTGCTTCAAAATTTTATGTTTCCAGCTTCAATAATGCTTTGTCAGTCTATTATAGTCTTAGTGATGACTCTTGTACAACTCCAGGTCTCCTTGTATCAGGGCGCCCAAGTGAGGTGGACTGTTCCTCATGCTAGCTTTTTTTTTAGCTGAGCTCATTTAAAAGAAGGCCAATTTAGCTTACCCAGGCATCTGAAAATTCACACTGAAAAGTAATGTGCACGCTAATATTTTAAATGCATGCAACACTTCTGAGTGTGCTACTCAATGGGAGCAAAATTGCAATATTTTTACAGTGCATTATATTACAACTGCAGCTGTAAGGTATACTGTAGTTAAACTAAAATGCTCGTTTTAACTTTATTTTACTCTTCATTTATTTTAAAACTATTTAAGTTCCATCGTTTTAGTTAAGTCTGAAGTTAATGAGGCAGAATTCAGTGTTTGCTTTTTCAGATCTGCACAACCATTATTGATATTAGCTGGAATGCTTCTGTTTAAGGAATGGTTACGTGCTACTATATATTTTTCATTTTTGAGGTGTGCCAAAATGGGGGATCTACTTTTGGGTATTTCCTAATTTGTGGGAGATGAGCATATTTATCCCATTTTTTAGAAGGCTGTAGCTTTGGGTCTGTGCAGACTAGTTGGAATTCTGTTAATTTTCATTTTAAACAAAATTCAGTTTATCCTGTTTGAAATCCTCTGGTCCTAATTCTTAGCAGCCACTGACTTTTGTTGTCATGAGGGCTAAGAGAAGGTTCAAATTCAGGAGGTAGCTCTGGACTGTTCTGGTTCCCAGAATAAATTAGAATGGCTTTAGGGACGGTTCTGCATTTTCAAGAGTCATTGCACAAGTCCAAAATAGCCAGATTGCACTGTGACCTAATTTTTCTAGCATGCTACGTGGTAAGTGAAGTAGAAAATATAATTTGTTCACATATCTTGAAGTTGGAACAAAACAGACTGTATTAAATCAAGACATGAAAACACTGTGCCTTTTGAATTACTAGCAAATATGAGTAGTGATAATGGGAATAGTGACTTAAAAATATTGTTTTGTCTTTGTACTTTCTCTTTAGCGACCCTGGTGGAGGGATTGAGATGTCTGAATTTATACGAGAAGCCACTCCCCCAGTTGGTTGCAGTTCACGCAATTCTTATGCTGCTCTAGACCCAAACAACCAGGTAGAAATTAAAGTTAATCCAACTATTGCTGTCTAATCACTACTGCAGCCTTTTTTTTCCTGTTCAAAATAAGCTTGCATTCCCCTTCGGATGGAAAAAAATAAAATGAAAGATCAAACTGTCGTTCTGTCACCCTGTTCTTTGTAAATAATTTCTTCAGTGTCCTGGGACCAATAGTTGAAATGTTTTTGTTTTGTTTTTTTCTTATTACTGCATTAGTTTTACCATTTCATTTTTGGGAACTTCTTGCCTAACACTGGCATATTAAATTCACCTTTTTGGTTACCCAAATGGCAAATTTCATTTACATTTCTAAGAAGATTGAATGGAAGATGCTTCTTAGAAAGTTTTTCCATTACTGCTTTGTGTAGCTATTTCTAATTGTGTTAACTGGCTTTTTGAGAGACATTGCTCTTGACAGATCAGAGCAGTAGTCATAAGTGTTGGCTAAAGGGAACAGAGCAAGATAAGTTGGTTGGAAAGGAGAAACACTAAATCTCTTACTTCTATAACTCTGCCAATGTCCCAGTTACTTAGCAAAAATATAAGAAGATGAGATGGTTTGGAGAGAAAGGGGGAAACAGGGAGTGGTGGGGTTGGGAGGTTGTCATAGATACAGGCTGCAGTACTCAAAATAGCAAGGTTGTTTGAATTTTTCAGATTTCAGTTGTAATGTAATTGTATTATGCACTAATTGTTTATAGAGTATTACATGGGAACACAAAAATGAAGTATGTTCACAGCAAGGAAACATTTCTTCCACTAACCATGTTATATTCACTTTTTATAAGATTGGTCATACTGTCTTGTCCACCCATCTTGCAGACAGTGGTGCTTTGTTTTCCTCTTCCTCCCCATAAGGGCAGGACTGAAAATTTGCAGCTGGTATTTAATATTTTCAGTTATTTTGAGGTGGTTGGAGGAATATACTCTTATAATATATAAGGGTATATATAAAAAGAGTTCTTTAAACCAGTCTTGGTAAATTATACATATAGTCCAGGGGAGCAGACCAAGTTTGAAGGAAGCTCAAACAGTTTGTGGCTTTATAAACACTCCTCTTGTGTGTGTTTTGATGTACTGATGTTTGGTAATGTTTGAAGTACATGGAGAGGGCACAAGCTTCTTTCCATTACTTACAACCCATTCTTATGTACTTTAATGCTAACTGTGCAATGTCCGTTGGCTCCATGATGGAGAACGTGGATTAAAGCTGAATCTGTGCTGGCAAAATTGGGACCTCCTGTTCTCAAATAATGGAAACTGTAATATTAACTGGGCATTGGAGCAGTAAACACCTGACCCCTGTGTATTGCTTACGTGTGTTGGAGGAATTACTTTTTTCCAGTGCTTATTTACCAATTCTGCTTGTTCAGCAAGGCACTTGAAGGCAACAAGATTTACAGGAGAAAATAGCCAGACTATGGCAATATGACCTATATCCTTTCTTTATGAAGATGAAATAAGGATGATGCTTTACATAATTCCTTTCTGTTTTCAGCTGCCATTCCTGTATTTTTTCCATTTTCAAGTTTGAGCATGTCAGCCTTGATAGTTTCCTTTTCAAACCAGTAAACAATGAGCATAGTAGAGGAAATGCTTGCAGCAAGTAAATTTCTGTGGTTTCTGTCTTTTCCATCTAATGTGTTAGTGACTATTTTAGCTGAAAGTATACTTATTTTACTATGCATTTGCCCCTTCATAATGCTGAGAAGAGCTCAACAATTTTTTTTCAGTGAATAGAAAATGGACAGAAAAATACATTTTGATGGGCACTGAAACTATTTGTGAATGGGTTGAACTTAATGAATAGTTTCAGTTGATGTGTTTGAAAGTGCAAAAATAAAACAGATTTAAAAGGAACCACTTTGGAAGCTTGTTTTAAAATGAAATGTTGATTCTAAATAACATTGTATTTCATTTTACCTGCATATTAGCAGAAAGCTAATTTTTCTTACTGCTGCTTAAATGCATGTGATTATTATTGTATTATTCAGGCAGGGGACAAAGTTAGAATTAATGTGTGTCACCAGCCATGTGGTTCAGCACTCTGCGCATGCGCAGACCACGCTGCAGCACCCTGCTGGGCTATAATCTACTTGCCTGTGGCGAGTAGATTACCTAAATTGTCAAGCCTTGGTCATTAAGATGCTTAAATTGTAATCACTCTGGCATGGGGACTCTGTTTTATTTTGTACAGCATGTGGCACAACGGAATCTTGGTCCATGATTTGATTTCTTACGCACTATTGCAGCAGTTCTCAACCTGCAGGCAGAATGTGACCCAGTTAGCACATGACTGCAGCCCACCTATGTGCTAAGGGTCGCCCCTGTTGCCTGGCCTCCCATCCAAGGCTCTGCTCCTGGTCCCACTTCGGAGGGGTCTGTGGGCAGGAGGTGCTGGAGTTAGGGGTCTGTGGGTGAGAATTTGGGAGGGAGAGCATGCATTGGTAGTAGTCTGGGAAGGAGTTTTAGTAAAATTTGGTTGGGTAAGGCTTGCCAATCTGACCAGAAATTCTAAATTTGTCCTCTATCCCAGATGATAATGCAGTGGAACCATAAGATTTCCCCCTCTTGAGGGCCAGCAAGTGACCGACAGCAACCACACCTTAACTCAGGAAATGAAATAGAAAACAATTTTATTGCTAAAGGGCTTAAAGGGAAGAGAATCACCACAATGAATACAGGGGCAAGAACACGAATCGCTTGGATTCCTTCCCCAGGTGTCATTAACACAATCAAATTAAAACTTATCTAAGTATACAAAGGGTATGTCTAGACTGCATCCCCGTGCTTAATTTGCGTAAAAATGGCTGTCGTTTTTGCCGGCTCAGCACTTCGTCGGTAAAAAGTAGCTGTCTAGAGGGGGATCTGTCGAGAGAGAAAGCCTTTTTCGACAGATCCCTTGCAGGAGGCATAAAGGATCTGTCGAAAAAAACTTTTTCTTGACAGACCCCCTTCTAGAGTGCTGCTCTTTGATGACAAAGTGCTGAGTTGGCAAAAAAGTGGCCATTTTAATGCAAATTAAGCACGGGATATTTAAATCCCCGCTTCATTTGCAATGTCAACCTGCCTAATCTGCATCCCTCTGCCGACAGAGGGATATAGTCTAGACATACCCAAAGAGTAATCATATTAACAATATTCTCTGCCCACAAGTTCTTAAGAACTCCAAGGCTGGGCAGGGTAGGACCAGCCGTCCTTCGCCTGGAAGGCCTTGGAGCAGGTGGTAGTGAAATTCCTAAAAGCAAACTTAAGAAAAACTAAGAAGCAAGAAAGCAATAAAAAGATACAATAGATGTAAGTATTTAGTTTCTCACCTGACAAGATAAAAACACTCTGGAGTAGGCTTCTGTCAGCAATTGCTGAGGCAGCAGCCCCAATCTCCTGAAACCCTAGACCTAAATACCCCTTTTTGCGCCAAAATGTCTTGGATGTTCAACCCTTTGTTCACGGTTGGGCTTGGTACCCTAAGATTTCTGAGGGTACCATCTCTAATTGGAGAAAATATTTGGGGAACTCATGAATATGCATCAGATATGATTGACGCTGTCTTGTATGCCCTCCAGGACTGCTAAGAAAAGGTGGGAACTTGCGGTTTGGACTTAGACATCTGATGTCTATTGCGCAGGAAATTCGGAAGGATAGTTATCACCAAGTTAATAGATTTCTTGCAGATTCTGAGCAAAATTTTAAACCACTAAAATTTTAAACCACTAAATTCTTGCCTCTCACATCTTATGTAAAATAACAAGAAAAACATTAAATATTAACTAACTACCATACTTTCACTATAAGCAATCACACAGAAAACAAATTCGGCAGGCACCTTGCGTTACCAGCCTATTAAAACCTATATAAAAGACAAAATAAAGTAAAATAGCTATCAATTAGTAGGCTAAAATAGAACAGATATCATTTAGTAGACTGCATGGTTCTCAAGCTGCAGCCATGAGAACATAAGAATGGCCATACTGGGTCAGACCAAAGGTCCATCTAGCCCAGTATCCTGTCTACCAACAGTGGCCAGCACCAGGTGCCCCAGAGAGGGTGGACCGAAGACAATGATCAAGCAATTTGTCTCCTGCCATCCCTCTCCAGCCTCTGACAGATAGAGGCCAAGTGCTGTTCCATTTATTCATCTTGGTAAAATAAAATAGAGACCCACTCAATACAATATTGAGCTTCCATGGTTCGGCACCAGTCAGTGCCCGAGGGTGCCAGATTAGCGAGGTTCAACCTGTATTTAACAAGCAAACCATTAGGTGTCTGTTAGCTGATGTGAAAATGTGCAAACATTTATAATTTGCTTTAAATGCTGCTGTGTAACAAAATAGAGTGGGTTAGTTAGGAGAGGCTGAAACAGAAAGAGCTGTGGTGTAACCTGCCTATAAAAGAATTCTTTGTAGGGTGAGAATGATATAATTTTGTCTCCAGAGGAGTCCAAAGTTGATTTGGAAACTTGTGACAGAGCATGCTTTGTAAACTCTGAAAAGTTAACCCATGTGCTGCATGCTTATGGAGAATCTAGGCTGGAAACTAAGAAAAATCTTTGTACTGCAGGTCAACTGTAACTAGAATCACAACTTCAGTAAAGTATGTGTGTGCATTTAAAGGGTGGAGAGAGTGAAATCTAGTCTTTTTTAAAAAGGTGAGCATAATTAATTTCAGGTACAGCACCTGACAATTGTTTGGGGGAAAGGGATGGGTTACAATCACAATTGTCTACTTCTATTGAACTATTTTTCTCTCGAATCTTTTTGTATGGAAGACCCTCACGCACAACTGGAAAACTAACTGACTATATACAAAGTACTGTTGCATGTGGTCTTAAGTTTAAAAAAAAAATCAAACATTTTTAAGTTGATGATGTCTCTGTAAAATGGAAGATGCCAAATGGACATCACTGGCAACTAGAGCTCTCATGAAATCTGCCTTGCTATCTTACATCACCCTGTTAATTTGCTTTACTGCAACCTGAAGGGTCTTCTTGTAGGGGTGAAAAACTGACTTAGATTCTATTCACTTTACTGAGACTGCCAATGGGTAACAACAAATATTTGTTCATGAGGTATTGATCTGAGACACAAATGTATTACACATGTAAATGCATGACTGTTAAGTGCCAACATAATTCCTGATCCTGTTCAATCACATTCAGAGGATCTTGTGGCTTGGTTAATGCTATCATGAAATAGTTTAGGGCTGATGGATCTTCAGGCTCTTACTCAAAAGAATGAGAGACACTTTGCACAAAAAGTTCAAATGAATTCTGTGTTCTCTGTTTCTCCAGGTTGTCACTGAAACTATCATCTCTGAGTAAGAGCTGGGCAGCTACTTCATTCATAAGGAAGAGAAAGAGAGCAAAAAAAGGAAGGGTATTGGAAAGTAATAGTTGGGAGAAGGTCTCCTTATACCTATAGCTCTAGTGAAAAACAAACTCCACTCTGAAAAGCCTCATTTGTATAAAAGATTAAAACTTTAGAATATCCTTGCCTGTATGACAGGTGCCTTCAAGTACTTCAAGCATAAACAACAGCGTGTCAGTCACCATGGACATTAGCTCAGAAATCCAAATCTTATTGCCACATGAATTATCTAATGTATAAGAACACAGTATTGATCATTGAATGCAACATCTCAAAAGAAGGTAAATTAAGTAGATCAGAATAATTGCAAAACCAGCAGCGCTTCTCCTTGCCTTTAGGTTAGCTTCTTTCTACATTTAGATGGCTTGTGTCCAAAACAGATAATCCATTTTACACCTTCTCCCCACATACTGTCACATGCTTTATGCATTACTGTTTAACAAACTATTACATATAAGTGGAGAGGGAGAGGTTCAAAGAACTTTACTAATAAACCACTTCAGTGACAACAATCCAGGAAATAGAGATTTGTTCACATTAAGTTTTTCTATTTGTTCCAAAACCTCCTCTAATGACACTTCAATCCGGGACAGTTCCTCAGATTCATCACCCACAAAGGACGGTGCAGATTCAGGAATCTCCCCAACGTCCTCAGCCGTGAAGACTGAAGCAAAGAAATCATTTAGTTTCTCCGCAATGGCTTTATCTTCCTTGATTGCTCCTTTTTATAGTTTGATCATCTAGTGGACCCACAGGTTTTTTAGCAGGCTTCCTGCTTCTAATGTACTTAAAAAAAACCATTTTGTTATTTCTTTTTGACCCAGGTAACACATTGTGAGCCGCATATGCAGCCCATAATAAGTAGATGAACACAGTGCACCATGTTAATACTTTTAAGATTGATTATTATTTGTATGCTGCAGAAGCTGATCGAGTAAATCTGTTATGTTTTGACTAGGAATGTCAACATGTAGTTAACTACTCAATTAATCAATAAGCCTTGGCTTATTGGTTAATCTAGTTGATTACCCACACCCTCCCCGCCCTTGGTGCCTCTGTTTCAGAGGGGGAGGGGGTTGGGAACCAGTGCCTGTGAGGAGCTGGCTTTAAGCAGTCTCCCCACAAGCATTGGATCCACCTGCCTGCCCTCCACCCCAGTCCTGCTTCTGATAGAGTTGCAGCAGCACAAAAGGTGAGGGGGTCAGGCTGAAGTTGGTATGTGCATGGGGAGCCTGCTTGAAAATCAGTTTCCCACGTGCTGGCTCCAGGGACCAACCTGCTCCTCCCTTTGTTTCCTCTTACAAAGGCAGTGAGAGGGAGAATGGGAGGAAGCTGGGGGGGCTTAAAAGCAGTTTCACTCTAGGCGCTGCATGCTCCTTGCAAAGCAGGGGCAGGAGGCGAGACACTTTGCATTCCTAAGCCCCCCAGGCCAATCAGGGTCTGTGGGTGGGGGGGCACAGGAAGTGTCCTGGCCCCATGCCTTTGTGAAATGGCCCCCCTTCTAAAACTGTTGCTCACCCCTGGTGTAGTCATAACCACAAGCGGTGTCCAAAGCTGTCTTTTGTAATTGACAGTATCAACTCAAAATATTGCATAGCTGGATCCTCATCACCAGTATGTCTCTGTTTACTATTTTAAACAGGTTAAAGGAAACCGAGACACATTTCAATATCCAGTTTTTTTCTTGGACCGTTATAGACTTCATCTCTATAGGCATCTATAGTCTGATGCTCATCAGCAATATGTTCTTAATACACACTCTGTTTGGGTTTACTTCAATATTCTTATTTAAAGGGAAGTTGTCAGGTTAAAATCTGCCTATTTAAATGATTGAAGTCTCTTCTTCCAGTGAGTATAAACACACACAGACACAACAATAGGGGTCACTTGGTGATAACTAAGGCCCAACTTGGATTGTGGATGACTTATAAAGTAATTTGTGGCAGAGTTATGGACAAGAAATAGAAAATAATGGAAAAGTAATAATGGACTTTTATTATTGTGGTAATTAGAAAAAGCCAGAGAAGATGTATTTGTTTAAGAGAAATTTGCTGGAGCAATACAAACATTTAAGTATGGTGCTTGTGGTGGTTTTTTTTTTTTTTTTTTAAGGTACCAGACATTTTGCTTCAACTGTGTTAATCATTAATGCCTGGGGTCCAACTGGAGAAGCATTGTCATGCCTGGGGTTGACATAAGGAGCCTTAGCCTTTATCAGTTAAGATATATGGAGTTCTACTGAATCAATGGAGAAAAAAGTATATTGCAAACTTCAAAATGTATACAAAATTGTGGACGGTGCAAAGTAACTTAAAATCATGATGGAACCCTAATATTGTGAAATCCACAGTATCACAAATTAGCGCCTAAGTGATAACTCTTTAAAAGATTTAATACATTAGATGGCTTACCATTCATAGACAGTTGCGAAGACAGAAAGGACTGTTAGATGCACATCATAGCACTATGAAGTTGCAGTTGCTGTATAACTCAATAAAGGCTTTCTCTCCCCCCCCCCCCCCCCCCCCTTTTTCCAGATTGGATCAGGGTTATCTCGTCTTGGAACAGCAGCAACCATTAAAGGTAAGATTCTGCCTATCTTGGATCTTGCCTTGAAGCATTTTAAATAAGTGTGATGTTTCCAAATTGTATCCACCATCCTTCTTTCAGCTTGCCATTGTTATGGGGTAAGTGAATACACTACTTGCTGACTGGACAGATTTGTAATTCTTGGGGTATTGTAATTACAATGGAGAGAAACTTTTAAAAAGCTAACTGGGAAATGAAAGTGAAGAAATCTATGTTCTTTCTTCCTGAAAAGGTACCTATTCTTGCACATGTTCAAAAAAGGTGCTTGATTGTTTTTTCTCCTCCCCCTCCCCCCGTCCACTTGCTGCAACACTTTAGCATCCAGTAATATTAAGTTAAGCATCCAACAAATAAGGAGAAAATAAGTATTATTCAGAATAGGTATTTTAAAATACCTTTTAGTGGAAAAGATTATTTTTAACAAGCAGAAAGGAAGGTGACCTCCTTGCAACTTTTTAATTTTAAATAAGGAAATAACTGGTTTTCTTCTTTGCCTTGCTAGTTGATCAAGGAACATTTTTGTCCTCTTCGTGGTTCTGTTCACCATTCAGCAGTGTTTAGCTGCTGCTGTAGGTGTATTTGTGGAAACTTCTGATAGGGAAGCTATGCACTGGTGTAAACTGTCTTGTACCAGTGTAATTAAACATGATTTAAAATTATGGAAGCTGTAGTAGTCTGAATCTCAGTTAATACCAGTGTATCTTGTCCATGCTTTATTCCAGTGAGACTAAGCTCTAATGCAGCAGTTCTCACACTATGGGATAGGACCCCAGAGTAGTTGTGAACCCATTTAAATGAGGTTCCATGGCCAATTTGGAATTGCTGGGGCCCAAGCCAAAGCTCCAACGGCTTCTGTCCTGAGCTTCAGGGTTCAGGTTTCAAGTCCCCTGCCCAGGTTTAAAGCCCTTGGATTTTGTGTACCCCCCCAGGCATTATGACTTTCACTCCTATTCCTCGGGCAGTGATTCTCAGGCTTCAGTCCCTCCTCCGGGGGTTGTGTAGTAATTTTTATTGTCAGAAGGGGGTCTTGGTGGAGTGAAGTTTGAGAACTCCTACCCTAATGTAAATAAGGCTCAAGGAAGTCATAGCATATTGTTTCTGCTAGTGGTCATTGATCAGAACGTTACTTAAAAAATAGGCAACATTTCTTATTACAGGTTTATTTAAAAACAAGGTAGGGAACTGTTATTAGCAAATAACTTAATCTATGCAACATACAGTCAAGGTAGCGTGATGAACCTAACTTGCTGTATACAGTAACATGACAAACTCCTAATACGCTCCATCTTCTATTAAGGAAGTGATATGATTGATATTTCGTGAATTTGCACTGCAACCTTATTTTAAGAGATATTGTCAATTTAAAATAGAATATTTTTTTAAAGTAGTTTCAGGTACCTCACCTGCCTCTGGGCAAAACTGATCAAGTAGACACTTTTTTCCAATTCTTTTCTATTACAGTATTTGTGTATTAACTGCTAGGTAAAACACTTTCAAGCAAAGTGACTAAGCTGAGGTCTTCGAATTTTTGACTGTTATGTTTAGCATCTTATTTGTAAAGGAAAGATTTTTAAGGATGCGTACCCTTGAGTTAATATTTTGAGCACTAATATGCGTTTTATGATATACAGGAGATACTGACACTGCAAAGACTTCAGATGATATCAGTTTTAGTCTTGGTCGGAGTTCTAGCATTTGTAAAGAAGGGAATGAAGAACAAGGTGAGACGTCTGGTTTACTGTGCTTTAACATGGCATTATGATCTATGATTGTCAAAAAACTTCAGGAGCTATTGCTTTCTTCAAATGTCACTTCTAATAAATGTTAGTTTAGGACAATTCAGCCTCATAATAATACAACCCTCCCCTCTCTCCACACACATTTCAGTTAAATATCATGTCTGTTACATGAAGTTCATGCTGTGTCACTATTGATACTGCTGGACAGAATGTGGAATAGCTCATTTATTTTTTAGATGGTACCAAAGAGATGGTATCTTGGAGTTGCTCCTTTTCTTGATGAATTATAGTAAGCCCTTTGAAGGATCCTTTGAAGTTCACAGTTTGGATGGGATGCTCAGTTTTCTGGCATTGTCCAAAGGGTGTTGGATATGTGTTGCATATTCTGCCCACTTGTCACTGAAAACTGTCTAAAAAGCACGACTCTCATGTAGTTAGTTGCAACTTAAGACTTACGAAAGGTTAGTAAGACTTACAAAAGGTTAGTAAGGGTTTTTGTGCTTGAGGGCATATTTACAGTGAACTGCTTGCAGGATCAGAAACTGCATGTTGTATCAGTATATGGGAGAACTCTTACTGTGATGCCTGAAAATGTGATCATGCATCCTTTTGTTGCATGTTTAAGTTATAATCTGTCATTATCAGTTTTATTTTTAAACTTATTTTCATGGTTTTATAACTCCATGAAACAATCTTGTTAGATGTGAAGCTTAATATAAACTTCCAGACTAGAGAATTTTTTCATGGTGACTTGTCTTAGTACAATTTATACTTAGCCATTACCTTTGTGCAAAACTCTGAAAAATGTCTATTTTATCCAGTAGCTAGGTTCCCTCTGCATTCAAAATTATGTTTGCCTCATTGACAAAAGTAGTTTCAGACTTTCTACTCTAGCTCAGCAGCACTAGCTGAGAGTCATCTGGATCCTTCTACAGGTTGGAATTCCCTGGTCTGGCACACTCGGGACCTGAGCAGTCTTGGATGAGGGATTTTACAAGACCAGGGGAAGGTAATTTCTGGCCTCCCCACTTTCCAGCCGGTCCCACCGGGCTTCCCAGCCCTGTAAGGCCGTTCTACTGCTGGCCTCTCCTCCAGGACTCTCTGGTCCTAGAACGTCCGTGGTCGGGACTAAAGAGTGCCGGTTTAGAGTAGGGATGTGAATGACTAGTTGACTAACTGATAAGGAAATGCTTATTAGTCGGCAGGCTAGTTGACCAGTTGCTTCCCCGCCCCCTTGCTGCCTCGATTAGAAAGAAGCATGGGGCTAAGGGAGGAAAGGGTGCTTCAAAGCAGCAGCACTGCATGGAGCCTGGAGCCAGACCCCAGGCTTCACGCAGCGCTGCCTCTTTGAAACACCACGTGCAGCCTGGAGCCAGCTGGCAGGTCCCCAGGCTGCGTGCGGCATTTCAAAGAGTCAGCGCCGCGTAAAGCCCGGGATCAGCTTGGGACTCCCCCACTGAACCCGGGCTCTGTGCGGCACTGCCGCTTTGAAACGCTGTGGGGAGCATGGGCCAGTGGTGGACTGCCCTGCTGGCCCTATGCTCACTGCAGCATTTTCCCCTTAGAAGTGTAGTAACAGCCCTAGGGCTGTTGCTACACTTCAAAGGTGGCGGTGCCCTATCGACTAATTGAATAGTCAATGCCAGTTGCATTGACTGTTTGATTAGTCAATTAATCGAAGTTTAACATACCTAGTTTAGAGAGGTTCAATTTGTGCTACTTGTGCATAAGCAGAATTACTATTAAGTTCCAATGAGTTACACTTCTATGAACTAGGGATATTAATGTATAGTCGTTTAAACAATTAACCGATAAGCCTAGGCCTAGGCTAGCCTAGGCTTATCAGTTAATCCAAATGTCTACACATACTCCCTCCAGGTGAGTGGGAGGTGTGAGCTGACTGTTAAGTCGGTTCCCCATGAGCACCAGATCCCGCTGAGGCACCTGTCTGTTCCCTTCCCCTAGTTCCACTGCCTCTTATAGAGAGGCGGCAAGGAGAGTGAAGGGGGCAGGTGGGAGCTGGTATGTGTGGGAAGTCAGCTTTTAAGGTGGCTCTCTGTGCATGCTGGCTACACGGAGTTGGCTGCCTCCCCCTCTTGCTGCCTCCCACAGAGGTAGTGGAGGGTGGAAGCACTGATTTCGCAGAACAGTCTCTTCCCCTCCCACTGCTTCCTCTGTATCAGAGGCAGCAGCGCGGGGATGCGGGCAGGTGGACTGCTGGAGCAACCCCCATCCGACTCCCATCATGGACTGATTCCCTCCTGCCACCCTCTGCTGCTGCCTCTGATACAGAAGCAGCAGTGCAGGGTGGCAGGAGGCTCCCTAGGAGTGGGGCCAGGAATGCACTAGCTTCTGGCTCGACCCTCAGGGATCATTGAATAATTGTGTAAGTGCTAAGATTTTGTGCAGTTACACAATCATTACATTAAATGATATCTAACATCCCTAGTATGAATCCACTATAAACAAGAGGTGGTAACTGTGTTGGCCTAATTTGGCTGCTTGGTCTCTTATGTCGGTAAAGTACAGAAGAAGGGAAAAAAGCTTCACTCTTGATGCTTTCTGGAAAGCAGGCAAAGGAAAACTCTTCCTGTAAATATAATAAAAATAGTTTTAATTTAGAGTGCATGCCCTGCAATTGTTAAGGCAAACATGATACCTCATGATGATCTTTTTACAGCACTATTTTACAGAAGAGAGCTTCACTTCACTTTTGAATTAGTATTATTTATTTGTTTACCTACATATGGGATTCAACACTGCAATTTAGAAGAACTCTAATAACTTTGCCTTCAGGTGGATTGTGATGCAGCTGTTTGCTGTCAGTGCATACAGATTTGTTAAAATGAGCATTTTATAGTCTGTGGCTGGAAAGTAATGCATCCTATGGGTTTTTCTGAATGCCTTTTGGATCTACTAGAGCAGGGGTGGCCAACCCATTTAACAGAGAGCCAAAACAGTGGCAGAAAAAATGTGAAGAGCCACACCAGAATTGTCAAGCCAAAAAAAAAAAAAAAAAAGCCCCCCAGAACATAATTGCCAAGCAAAACCAAAAAAAAAAAAAAATCCTTTAATAAAGGAGGCTGCCCCTTTACGACGGCCACCATCTTGGGTGCCATTTTTAAAACCCTGCAGCTCTGACCTGGTAAGCACAGGGGAGCCAATGGGGGGTGGGGGCCATTGGAGTGGGGGGGGGGGCGG